AGCCTAGTAATGTTTTAATTGTAGTATTTTTTCATCAAATCCAATTGCTTCTTTTATTTCATTCCTCCTCCCTTTTTCATAGACCGACTGGACGCACGGTCGGCAGCATGATTGACTGAGTTGGCAGTCAATCAGGAAACCAGCCCCCAGTGGAAAAATTGCTAGACTCTAACTGCTGTCTCTTCTGGGCTGCCCTAAATCTCTTTTGCCTTGTTTGTGCGGTGAGATTCTGCTGTTGCTTTCTGCATTCGGAGAGAGTGCAACCATATTTACAGCACATACAGAAAGGGGAGTTAAAGCATTTCCCCTTCCATCCACAGTAGAGGCTCTTAAAAGTTTATACAGTGGACTGTATTTAAACACTGTACTCTGAGCTGATACTGCTTTTTGCAAAAAACAGAACAACAAAACCCCCCCAACCCCTCAAAACCTAGCTATTGTTTAATTCCCTTCCCCACCCCTATGGTACACATAGGTGAAGACAATATGTATGGATTGATTTTATTCACAGAAACTGAATCATTCCGACAAAAGGTGTAGTGATGTGGAAAAGCTTCCAGCTTCAGAACCCATCCTTTTACAGGTGTGTTAGAGGTGGGGTGAGGCAACATGTTGACATGTTTTTAGTGTATTTATTACTGTTCCAGGAAGGCTGGATCGTTAACAACTGATCCTTGCTTTGAATGTCTCTCAGCATTACCCCCTCTATCGGAAAAGTGATGCTGAATGCAGTGGAGAAGATTCTGCTCCTCCAGAGGAGAAGAACATCCCATTTAAAGAAAAGTACGATGTACTGTCTCAAGAAGCATCACAAAAGGTTTGATATATTAGGAACTTGAGTATCGGGGGAGGGGGGGGCACATGAGTATAGATACATAGAGATTAAAAAATTTTGGAAAGGATGTTAGCTGACACAGACAGACCACAGCTGCTCCCGCTTTAATGAGGCCTTTGAGAGGTTGCTTGTTAGAGCTGCTCCCCTGAGGATCATCGCCATCATGGCCTTGATTTTGCCGGGCTTCCAGGTACAGGCTGTAAGTCCTGGCGCTCTCAAGTCTGCTGCAATGCTGTTACCTCCAGTTTAGCATTTTGTACATTATGTGCTGCGTAGATTATTGACAAACCTCGTATAAAGCCACTATTTTCCAACACTTCGAAAGCACTGCTTTTGCTGAATTAGTAACTACAAAAACATGTAAAGTCAAAGTATTCCCTAAAAATCTGATGGTCAGCGTTTGTTTCCTTCTGCATAAATGTCTTCACTCAAGACTGGCAGTGCAAGATTCTCCCTTAGACAAGAAAGAAGCATTGCTTTACTAAACCCAAGGTTTTTCTGTTCGTGATGTCAGCAGCATGCTATTGCCTTTGTTTTTCTGATCTGTATGGCCGAAAAAAGACGTCCAGTATTTGGGATGAGGGCCAAATGGATAGGATTAATATTACAGTATGAACACGTCTTGTTTACACAAAACACTTTGTAAGAATATTAGAATTGCCATAATTTGATTCTGTTAGAAGAAAAAAAAAGGGTTTTAAGCTCAATTTCTTTTTAGTTATGACTTAATTTTTGTGCTTTACCATTTTGTGTTCTAGCTGATATGGTGGTTTCATCCCCGTTTGATTCTCAGTGGGCATACACACAGTGCTTGTGAAGTGCTGCATGCCGGGAAAATTCCAGAAATCAGCGTCCCATCATTCAGTTGGAGGAATAGAAACAATCCTAGTTTCATCATGGTGAGTTTTAATTTTTTTTATTTTTGTCAGATAACTTTCATAAATAAATCAACATGGCAGTCAGCTATATTTTAAAACTGATTCTACCTGTAAAAACAAAAACTAAAAAAAATTGCCTACCCACCCAACCCACTCAGTACACTGCATCCACTTTATAAAGTACATCTGTGGGAGCCACATGTTCTGTGTGGTACAAAGCAGTGCTGTTAAAGATCTAATTAGTATCTGGGTACAAGCATCTAACATTTTCTTATAAAGAGGGTGCATTGTAAACTATTGACTTGTAAAAATAATCAGTATTGTGCACTGAACAGTAGAAAGACTAGTTTGGCTTGGTTGATTTACCAGCTATGAAAACAAGACCGTATCCACCTCAAATTCCTGCATGGTGATCATGGTTTTCCAACTTGTGCATTAACCACTTCACACAGTGAAAACGTTTGTCACATGCCAATAGTCTGCCGCCTCGTTTCCAATTCACATTTTATACAGTGTGTTGGTTATGCTCTCGCAGGCAGTTCCAGTGCTCAGTATATCCTTAGAGGTAAATCAAATAGTTTCCCAGTTCAAAATTAAAACAGAACTCCTAGAAACTTGCAGTAAGAAGCAAAACCTACAGTCTGTTTACAGAGTCGTCTGTGACTTGGGGGGGAAATCTTTCATGTATTTTTACTGCTGTTGAGTTTAGGCTGCTCAATACACAGATAACCCCAAACTTTTAAATTCATTTTATGCAACGGTTAATATTTCTTGTTGAAAGTAGCTCTGTTTATTCCGTATTCCTGAGAGTAGCTGCCTTCAAACTACACATGCTCTCCGCACACGCCAGACAGTGCATCTTCACTGCAAAACAAGAGGTTGGCTAATTAAAGTTGCATCATCTTCACTACTGTTTTAACTCGGCCTCGGTCCGTTGTAAACTTTAATTTGAATTGCAAAGTCAAGCCAAAACCCAATGAAGTTCTTTGCTGCTGAAGTTCATGTTCGTAATTTGGATTAGCCAACGTGTTTTTTGCAGCATGTACTGGGTAGGAGGAGGACCTGGGGGAAGGAAGGGGCACATTCACAAAACCTAACTTTAGCCTGGAAAGGGTCCTTCCAGGTGGATTTACAGCAGCTAAAGTTAGGCTTCTCTTGAAGGCCGATCAGATGAGGAGCCCAGCTCTCTATTTACGCTAGATGGAATATAGGGAAGATTGGCCTCTGGGCTAATGTTGGCCTGGTGAATATTCCAGTTAGTGCCCAGCACCGCAAGGTACGGACTCTTCAGCCCCCTGGAGAAGGCACTGGTACTAGGAAACGGGCCCCAACCCCTGCCACCCAACACAGAATTTGGAAATCAGAGATCTGAGACCCGTGGTGTTACTCCTGATTCAGAGCCCACTGTAACAGCAAAGTGACAGTCTTCATTTCTTTTCCAGGGCAGCATAACACCAACTGACTTCTCCCTCCAAAAATGCTTCCTTCCGTACGAGAGCAGAGTCTTTGCTATATACTGTGCAGCAGGTGCTCTGCTTGTAGTCCTGATACTAGCTCATTTTCAGCTTCTCACGCCACCATTTTATTTTGCTCAGCGTTTAATCAGTAAGCATAAAGCAGTATGAAGAGCCAGACATCTGCATTCAGTCACTGAAATACCAAAGCTGAGAACAGTCAAACATCAGACTATATTCATGCCAGCAAATGACCTAATTTGATTGCTAGTCTGAAGGCAGGTTGCATTTACACATACCATAGAAGTCCTATACAGCTGATATGACTACTACAGGATAAATAATTAACTGAAATGAACGTTTCATGCTGTACAAAAATACTGTATTCTACAATCAAATGAGTCCTTTTCCTGCTATAATTTTTGTATCAAATATGTATATTAAAAGTGTAACTGTACATTATGTAAATCCTATAGCCTCATCACTTATCTGCACTAGTGTCTTACCCTGGTGGAGGCTCAGTCCTGCAAACTGGAAACATTTCTCTGTTTTATTGCTGCATGGCCCTTCTAATGTCATACTTCTGTTTGTTAGGGTCAGGCAGAAGCTAGATACACATCAGCACTGAGAGATGCGGATTTCCATAACCTTTTTAGGATGTCAGATGTAAGGGACTGTGGTTTGGGACAAGAAATCTTCCAGTTCCTGACACATTAAATTGTTAGCTGACTACAATTTGCAGTTATCGTCTACCAGACAACAACAGGAAGAAGCTCGTGGATCCAGTTTGCTGATACACACTTGAAACCTGCTTAAAAAAAAATTAGGGTGACACCTTAAGCTGCTATTTTTAAAAAGATGTGCTATGATGAGCTTAAAAAAAGAGGGCCCTATTGCATCCCAGAGATCTGTGTGGTGAGGGGCCCTCCAGTTGCCGATCTTCTGCAAGAAGGAAGGTCAAATACAGCTGCAGTAACATTATCCTATGCCTTGGCCCTCAGTCTACGGACAGATAGGGATAGGAATGCGTGTTACTTTAGATTCCTGCAGGGCTGCCAAGTTCTGTTAACTTACTGTAGAGTCACACTTTGAACTGCACTAGCTCTTCCACGGGGAGGCGGAGGCCACCAGCCACGCCGCAGTGCATGGCAGAGCTGGGCCACAGGCCCGTGCCCGGAGGGCAGCGCGGAGAATGTAAAATCTGAGCTCGATGTCTTCGCGTGCTGTTTACGAGGGAAGAGGCGACAAACCTACTGCTTCTCCCCACCCACCCCAGAAAAACCAGAGGGACTACTTCACACCAGGACCAAAAAAAGACATTCCTGCAGAGGCTGGGAGCTCCAGCCCGAACTCCTGGGCAGCGGGCTGCTTTGCTGCTTTTAAAGAAAAGACTATCTTTTGTTATTCGCTTATTACTTTCTTTGGCATGGGAAGTGAGAGAACCTTTGCATTTGGGAATTTTGTTTATTACTAGCTTATTCCACCCAGCCTTTCACTTTCTGGTAAATATCTGATAACTAAGTTGAACATACAGATATCAAAGTACACACATTTCTGGGAAGAGGAAATGGTTATATTATAGTATCTAAAATGGGATTGTTTATCATCAAATAGAAACAAGTTCTCAATTCGTCTGAATTTAAAAAGATGACTCATTGGGGTTTATAACTAATAATGATGCTTATAGTAAAAAGTTAATTGAACCTGCTGATTTATATGCCAAGGTGGGGAATGTGTTAGCTCTTTATCTCTCCCTAAATTTAAAATGAAGTGGGGGGAATGGTCCAAAGTGTGATACAACACTCTATAAAGTAATGTAGTCTAACACTTCTCTAGGTTTCTGTTATTGCAACTGTAATTTTAGACATTTGTACAGGTTATCTTGGACACAGGAAAAGTATATAGTCACAGACATAAAACACCTATGTATAAAATATAAAGCAGTGTTATAGTTACTAAAAAGGACATGCCTTATTGCTACAGCAATTCTTGCTTTTTATATATTGTACTGTACCACAACTTGTTTTGAGAATGTCATTTGCATAAATTATTCAAGTTTGAGAAATATTCACACATTTTGATTCTACAATATTTAAAATAAAACAATTTTCTAATGTGTCTCTTTATTAAAAGAGAAATAAAAATGTCATCTTGTAATTCTCTTAGGCCAGACACAAGGGTTTATACACCTTTTTTTTTTTTCTTCTTTCTCGCTATTTACTTGCACAATGAAAGCCGCTGTTGGTACAAAGATTGAAGAGCTCTATATAATGGTGCTTTACACATTCACAATCGGTCTGTGCAATTGTGAAGTTCTATGAATGACCAAAGAATTACCAAACATATTTTCTAAATATAAAGGAAAAAAAAAATAATCCTTGGTTCCCATTAGAACAACACCAGGTTGCAATTTGGACACTTGAATGAATTCCAATGTTTTAAAGCTGAGACTTCAAAAGAGAAAGGCATGTTTGCTGCAACATCCGGTGACTGTAATACCTTACTTGGAAAGGTAAGTGGTTAATTTGCATAATTTATAATTTTTATACTAAAGAGCATTTTCATATAAACCAGAAAAAAACCCCTAAACTCTACAGATAAAGTTCTTACCTCCAGTCACTGCTGCAGGTAAGGTTGACATCAAGCTGTACAGCGCAATCAAAAACATACTTACATCTTAGCTCATTTTACAGGTACAGCCATAATCAAGGCACAAAGATCTTCTACAAGTATTTTTCTTCAATAAAGTTGTACAAAATAATATTACATTTTACAGTCTGTACAATATAATAAACCAGCAGTAAAACAAAAAAATATATATAGGGAGAGGACTGTTGTCCAAGAATGATCTGAACTAAAAGGATCATTTGTGGACAGCACAAATAACGTAAGTGAGGGTGGTAAATTTTCTGCCTAGATGCAACAGGCTGAAAAGTAGCTGTAATTCAAATGCCTGAGGTGTGCAGAGACACTTAGGTCCAAAACCCCAGAAAAATTGCTTTGTCTTCACTATTCCTCTCATTATCTACTCTACTTCCTGTGCCAGTAACGGCTTAAAAGAGGAGGTCACTTTATCAGTTGACCTGCAACTCAGAAATGCTAAAAACTGTGACAGAGTAATAAATATTGTGGTGCTGCTACATTGTGTGTCTACTTCCTCAACAGTATTTAATAACCTGATACAAAGTGCATTAATCTTTTTTTCACCCATCAAGTACTCTTCAATGTCATGTTAAAAAGGAAACCCACACAGAGGGATAGGTATGACTTTAGTGTCATCCAGCTGACATACCAGTTTGAACTGACGTTAACCTGCTGGAAAAAATTTAGCAGGCCATGTTCAGTTAAAAAAACAAAGCCTAAGGGAACAGAGGTAGCCGAAGGGCTTAGTGGAATGACGAAGAAGTGGCATGTCAAAATAAAGCACAAAAATAGTCCCAAAAAGCATGAAGGAAAAACAACCCAAACTTGCTTCAAATCAGCTTTAAGGTTAAATAATTAAAGTAAACAAAGTGAAGAGACTGACATTTCTATAGTATATTCTTCCACCCTGTGTGGGGTAGTATCAAGAGAAAGAGTAAGGAGCAAAGAATTTAAAACCACAGGTTCCACAGTGATCCCCCTCACAAGAGTTCGTACTGGCGGAGATGCATCCTTTGAATGATGTCTCGACAGTCGTTGAACACTCTGCGGATATTTTCTGTGTCCACTGCACATGTAAAGTGTGGGTAGCAGTAATGCCTGCCGTCTCCGCTCGCCGGAAAAAAAAAGTGAGGAAAAGAAAGGTCAGGCGCTGTGCCACAAGAAGTTTCACATCTCAGCACTCTATAGACTTAGGGAGTACCAAGAAACCTGGGAAATTCTGTATATAGATCATTAAAATAAATAAATAAAAAGAAGGAAGGTTTGTGGTCTAGTCCAACATGCATTACAAATTTGAAACAAAGAAAAAAGTTTTCGCTAGTATCATGGGGTCAGTATATGGCTCTAACTTGTAAGAGCCACTGACACTATCATTATTTGCACAAGCTATTATCATTTGGACATTACTGTGCAGCTCATCTGTGCTGCTGACAGCACTGCAGTCTGACATCCACCTGTCCCAGGATTTTTTTTTCTCTTTTTTGGTGCCATCATGTGGCAAATTTTTGAACTCTTGTTTTAAATCCGCAACACAAAACTGAAAACCTCCCAATTGTGAAGGTAGTAGCAGCAGAGAAGAGCACCCTACTGCTTCTGCTTCTTGAAGCTGAAGGCCCCTGAAGTTACCTTTACTTAGCGCACTTATCAAGCCGGCTGAAGACTTGGTATCATTATTGAGACCAGAACATGGTGGAATTATCACTAAAGTGGACAGGTTCCCAAGAATGATAAAACATGCACAAATCCAGCAAACATCAGGCCACGCAGAATTACATTTTCGCAAGGCTACTGCACAACTTTTTAGATTTCTAACTTAAGCTCCAGCATCACTTCACCCGTGGTTATCTTGTTAAAATTCCCCAGAATCTTAAAAACCCGTAATTTTGTTCTGTACTACTACAGGATCCATTCTAGATCATTATCTTGAAGAATATATATGGAATGTCATGAAAGCAGAAGGTCGATTCTTGGGATAATAATTTTTATAAATCTTTTCTGAATTTTATTACAAATTATAATGGCTAAACAACAAAAGACATATTTTTAATACATGTGGGATTGACCTTTTAGATACCTACAGCTACAGATATGCAAAACTATAGACATTTAGAAGCCCTGATTTACATAATTAGATCAACAAGAAATTGCAGATAATGTAGGTAACATTAGATATTCAACACTAATTAAATAGGGGGCTTCCAAATGTATACTAAAAATTATTGTCTTCTTACTAAGCTACACTCAATACCTAGTTCAAGGACTTCCCTCATGAAAAATACTAATTTAATAACCTAGTCAATTGATGAGTAAATTGTTCAGACCATATTTAAAGCATGAAGTACACTGAACAATAATGAAACGAGGAAAAAAAAGTTTTACAAATTACTGCAATGGTGGCAAGATGCTGAAGCTCAATTAAAATGTAGATTGTATTTGTCTGTCTTCAGGATACAGGCCCCCAAATCTCCCAGCAAGACTTGGGGAGAGTGTTGTCTTGTAAAGTTTGGGGGAAATCAGTCCCTTAGGAACCCAAGGGCTGAAAAGACAGTGGTGTACATGGACATTCATGATGATACTAATTTTAAAACAGTAAAAAGTGCAATAGAGGTTCTATTTTTGATACAATAGCTGCTTTACTTTTTTTTTTCCCTGCAGAACTGTTCTCTATGGGAGTGGTATAATGCTGTCACTCACATGCAGCAAGGACAGACGAGACTTTTTTCTTCCTTGGAGAAAAAAAAAATTGTCCTCCAAATGATGGTCCAGCCTGCCTTCCAACAACTGCTGCACTTTTTCAATCTTGCAAGCCTCAGAGGAGTTCGGCCCTGGCCTATTGCAGGGATCTGAGACCTGCATCTATACGTGCAGCCTCCAGCTGCTATTGCCACGCTTGCCCTCATCCCTTCCAGCGCGCTCCCTTTGAGCAGCACGGCCTCAGTACGCTGTTAACAAGCGCATTAACATCTCTGCATGTCTGCACACAGCAGTTACCAACGCAAGGGTGCGAGAGAGGGATCAGACTCCCACGCTGACGTGCTCTTTCTAGGACTAAATGTTATATGCTGTCAGTGAGGGACAACGTACAAACGCTTTCAGTGCCACCCAGACGTGGGTAGTAGAGAGCACACCACCCTACCAACACAACGTTCAATCTTTTTCTTGTGTTTCAGTAAAATAAGTGTTCTTTCACAAAGTGTTCGCTTGCGTTTGTCAAGCACTGATTCCACTAACGCCTATGGTTGTAAGCTGCCTACAATGTTCTGGAGATACCTGGTTACATATAAAGCATGTCAAAGGACGTATTTTCAAAATGTTAAGTTTTTTTTGTCCCCTGACAGCTCTGTAGTTCTCTCATTTGAGGCCAAATGCAGTATTTTCACCCCTGCTCAAAACTCATTCTGAATTTAGCATGTTACTTAGCACTGGTTCAGAGGGGAAAAAAATACCCCCTGGGACAGCAATGAAAGTACACTTACCTTCCTATAACACAAGCGGGAATATTTAATACTGGTGTCCCTATACTGCGGGGGTCAGGACGACAGTTTTCAGCGAGGAGCCAAACGCACTATTTGTATGTTTGAGCAGCAGCTCCTCCACCTCCAAGGTTCAGATTTTTAAAAACCAGCACTAACCAGAGGGGCCGGGCCACTGCTTTAACAGGGGTTACCTAGACACTGGGGATGTATTAAAACAAAACATCAGCAGCTGGAGAGCCCTGTGTACAAAACACCAAAATGGGGCTGGGGAACAGCCTAAACAGGAGTGCACGAGCACGCTGCCTCCATGAAGAGCTTGGGAGGAGGAAGGACGTACCTGAGCTGAAGGAAGGAGAATTTCCTACAAGATATGTCCTGCCAGCCCTCATCCACCGCTCCCCCCATTAAAATCCAACGGTGCCGAGTAGCCAGGCCTGCCGCCGGAGCCCCCAGAGGCCACAGGCCCCCACACCAATTCTGAAATAAGGAGCCAATGTATTTTGCCCAATACTCAGATACTACTGTGTAGCAATTGTTGTTGGAAATGTGTTTATATTTAACCTCCTTCTAAAATTCTTCGAATTACATGCTTTAAATTTGCCAGTACAAGTGCTACAGCCGGGTAGAGTTTTAAGGGGTGCAGCGCCATGGTGGTGATTTTCACACATATCCACGCCTTATGCAGACCCGCTACCATGATAAAAATCGCAATAAAGCTTATAAATGAATAAAAACAGATTTCTCTGAATCGTGTCTGAAAATTTAACCGAGCTGGACAAGGAAAAGGTCATAAATGAAGAGACTTGGAAAGCAACGTATAAAGCAGAGCCAAAAAGGCCATAGGTAGAAAACATACACCTTTTCTTCCTTGCACCTGGCTAAGGACATCAGACCTCTCCCTAGTCTGTACGCTGAGCTTACTCCCCCTGTCCCCTTTGTCCCCCCCTCTCCGAAACTTCAGCCTTTTGTGCCTGACACCATGAAACTGGAACTCGCTGTTTCTACTCAGCCTTCACCCACCACACCCTCCCCGCTGGGCCCGTGCATGGCTTCCATTACTTGGGGCACATGCAGGCTGTTCAGACCGTTTATGGGAGCAGAAACCCCTTGCTTGCAAGACTTTAATTTCAAACAGCCCAAGAATTTAAAGCAACTATTCAAATGACTACGTCCCTCTGTTTCTTTACGCTGAGAAACCAAGCACAAACCCAGGAGAGAAACACACAAACATTACTTATGGAGGAGATGCTCTTTGCCAGGACTGCGGCGGTTGCGGGGAAAGGGGGGGAAAACTGTTTTGGCCCTGTTTTGGCCCCACGCCCGAGCCCTGGAGACTGCCTGGCAGCTGGCGGATGCTGGCCCCTGCCCAAACCCTTCTCCTGCCCCCAGCACCCGCGGCTGCAGAGGCCCTCTGCAGAGGCACGGTGGTTTTTTATGTGGTTGCAATGCCTACGCCCCCTTCCCTCCCTCCCCGCTTCGTAGGTGGCCTCTTTCCGTAATACCAGTGAGTCATGGCAGGTAAGGACCTCGCCCTTGACGTGTTTTTTTAAAATAATGAAAATAGATAAAGGTGGGGAGTTTCGCCCTAGTTTCCCCATAATTTGGTTCTCTTGGACCCTCCTTCCAAACTGGATACTGTCACCTGCTTCACAGCATTTCAGCATTACCACAAGACACATTTGGCTTGAAGTGCTTTTTTTTTCGGTAACTCTTCTGTTAATACAGCACAATCTGACATTTTTCCTTAGAATCCGGAAGGTTAAGGTGGTGAATGGAAATCCCCAAAGTGTGAACACAGTTAATTGCTTCTTTCTTTCTTGTTGCATCAACAGCTGTAAATCCTAACAATACTTGTAAATGCACAATGACTTTAAAATTCTTAATTCTAATGATTAAATCTGTTCTCTCGAACACCCCCATACAGTTTCTACCAGTAGGGCAAGATGGATGAGCTTCGGTTCTGGTCTCCGTTACTGCTTCACACTGTGGGAACGACTCAGTATCAGTGAAGCCGTAGGTGATATTGGAATAAGCCCTCTGTTTCTGATAGCAGCGCTGGGCTGTGATCGCGTGCCTGATAATGCTTGTATCTGCGAAATGTAGCCAACACCTCTCCGGCACCAGCTTTGGAGGAAACCTTAATTGCAAGAATAACTGTGACCAGACAAGGACACGTTCTTATGATTCCTCAGTAGGGCCATAACACCAGTCCTAGGGTGAGGCAAACTTTCTAACAGGCATAACAGAATCTTATTTAAGGATAAAATCTGCTTTTTTGTTCATTCCCTCTTGCCAGCTGACCACTGCCAAAGCCCTTGGAGGAATGCAGGATAAAAACCCAAAAAGCCTATTTGCTTAAACATGGACTGGACCGATACACAAAATAAACATCCAAGGCAACAGCCAGTAGCATCTTACAGGTAAAGACAACCACAGAAAACCTCACTCACTGGCAATGGAAATAGTGCTTGGCATTGTTCCCCTGCGCAGAGAGGGAGGGCTGCCAGCACCCACACCGAACCTGGAATCAAGCAGGCAGGCACACGACTGTTTTCAGCACTAGTACTTACTTGCTGTGTGACACTTTGCAGGCCAGGTGACTTTATATAAAATGGGCGTAAAAATGTGCAAGCACTGGGGAAGGTTCTGCAAGATGGGCAGCTGAAAAGAATTAGGGAATTGCCAGACGTTCTCCTCTCCTTCTAGCTTTCTGCAAAACCCATCAGTTTTCTCTAAATAAGCTACGCCATCTGCCAGTATTTCCTATGATAGAATCACACATAAGATCAAAATTACTCACTAAAAACTCATCCCGGATGAAGAACTTGGCTCTTGTGACTTTGGGGTCTTCTCCTGCATCTGGTGTTGCTGTTCAATTAAAAATAATGACATCAGAAACATGAAAAGCAAACAATCATCTACTTTTCATAATAAAAGATTTAATAAGGAGGAAGTAGTCCTTCACACAAAAATTAAAATGTTAAACATCCACAGGAGATTCCTGATAGGTAATTCTAAAATGGAAGGGTACTGTAAAACCTGCCTATGCATTTAACATATTTAGGAACCTGAAAATTGCTGGAATCGTTTCAACAATGTCACTGGTCATATCATAAAAAGGCTTACTCACATCCACAAGTTTGTTCATATAGATACAAAATAAGTGGGAGTCAAGGTTTAACTTTTATCAGAAAATATGACTAGAAAAAGCAGCTGAGCTGTTCAGTTTCTGCAGCAGAACAGCATCTCTTGAATAAAGCTTCTGCAGGCAGGAATTTGGGTTTAAAAATGGTTAGTCCAAGATTACACTTGAAAAAAAATGATAGCATTGAAAGATCTTTTAATATATATATTTTATTTCCAGGCCCAGAGTCAGCAGAATACTTAGATATACTGCCCATCAAGGGGCTTTAGATTAAATTCTTGCTGAGCAGGAGACTCACTGGTCAGTACTAACTGTTGGCAGATAAAGTCATCTCTATCTAGGCCATGTAACAACTATATTTACTGTAAGTGTAAAAACCAATACAGTGAAGAGATAACCTATTCATTTCCCTTCAGTGTGACTTCTCCTCATCTAAGATACCAAATGAGATGCTTATAAACATAATATGGTAAAGGGCAGAATTTATCAGAATATGGAAACATTTTTTCCTCTTATCTATAGTGCTAGGGACATATAGCGCATAGAGCAGCAGCACAATCGGCAGCATCTTGGAGTTCAGTGCTGCTGTCCTTAAATAATGTCAGCTGAAATTAAAGAACAAATGAACAACTACAGGTTAAAAATAGAGAGCTGCTTCATGTGTGAATATTCTGGATCACTCTGGAAATCCGCTGTGAAATCCCACTGAGAAACACCAAAAGCTACTTTATTCTGACAACTGGCTTACTATAAAAAAACGTTGAAAATTTACCCAAACTCTGTATATATGAGGTGTATGTTTGGGAGAGGGAAATTTGGGTGATGGTGACAGGAGATTCCTTCTGAAAGCCCTCAGCATCGTAAAACTAACGGTGCCAGGTTAACTCAGATTTCAGGGCAGTTTATTTATCCTCTCCACCTGAAACTCAGCATCACACTCCTGAAATTCCAGACCTGAATGAAAGCTGAAAATAGCTTATTACCATCTTCACTAACCTAGTTAGTTATCTTCAATAACCTAGGCTGTTCTTGGGACAACAAAAGCCTTCTCCAACAGGTGGCTGCAAGCGCTATGCCAGGGGCATCACTTGGGTAAGGCAGAGGCTAGCGGTCAGAAAGTGCAAGTTTTACCACTTTTGCTAGACGCAGACCTGAGATATTTAGAAGCCTTCTGCCTGGTATAAAACCGGCATAATACCAGAGTTTACTTAGGCAGTATGTTACTGCAGTGCAGGAATCACTGTACTTCTTGAAATGATAAGAAACTGAACCCAAGCGAATCGCTCCATCACCACAGCTCGTTCTGTATTTATTGATGTGGTTTTCCTCCATTAAAGTTCCCTCGCTGATCTGCTGGGCTTCCTGTCAGTACTGGCAAAGGCTGAAGTTACAGTCCTGGAGGATGCAGAATGGCCGCAAAATAAGTCTAATGAATCCCTAACAAAGTTCATCACCGCAGGAGGCCCAGGCAGAAGCATCTGGCAGGGGAGAGACATGCTTGGCAGCTTTGCTTTCCTGGGACTGTGGGCTGCTCCAAAACAGGGGAAGGCAGGCACTCTGGAGTCAGCCCCCCGTGGTCTCTCCACACCCCCCGCCAGCAGCTAGAGCCCCTTCAGACCCTGCCTGTGCTGGGGCACCTCCAAGCTATGTGCTGCCGGCACGCTTCTTTCCTGACCAACAGTTCGCGTTAAGGAACGCTGTGTGCTTGTGAATTTGTGTGTATGTGAGAGAGAGAGAGAGAGACAGAGAGAGGAACTATGAGCTGCGCTACGCCAGCAGGTCCCATCCCTGTGTGGTGAAAAACCTTACCATCCTCAGGTACAGTATAATGCACGTATTCAGGAAAGTAATCTTCGATTTTTGATTTCCCTGCCAAGACTTTTTCAGCCAGCATGTCCTGTTTATTCAAGAACAAAATGATAGAAATGGTCCGTAACCACCTGTCAAAACCAAACCAAATGTTTGTGTTATCTCTGACACCTTAATCAAGGAAAACATATCACTTCAACAGAAAATTTACTGGATCTCCCTGCATGGACAGAGGGTGAAGTAGTGTGGAACATGCTTCAACAGAAAAAAAGATTACCTAAATTATTGTTTCGATTGGGTTGCACCTGTGTTGGTGGGTGTATTTATAGGATCTGTAAATATATTTATAAAAACTGCAGTAGACATTGCCGAAGAGAGCAGTCTTCAAATATTGTTTTCTAAATTATCCTTTTGATATCGAGTTGGGAAAATTACGACATTTCCTAAAAGCACAAAAGTCCAAAAACAGACATTACTGTCTACTTTGTTTGGTTTTGCTGAAGCAAAAGAAAAAGGCTGGAAAGCTGCCTTCCCTCAGACTGCTCTTAACTATTGTTCATCCACACAGATATCCTGTCTTTTAGGGTGGCCTGTAAGACACCTGATGAATCAAAAAGAAAATAATCTGTTTTCTTCCCCAATTAATACCTAGCCATCACTGTGACGATGTGCCTTTTGGACTTGCGCTTAATATTTTTCCTCACTCTACCTTCAATCACTTCTCAGTGCACAGCATCCTCACAGGTATGTGGTGAAAACTTCAGTACCTTATTTTGTTTATTGTTTTTACTTATTCTCTATCAAGAACCTATTCAGATTGCTATTTGGTTACATATCTATAATTTACATGCACTGTGGCAGAATGGCAATTTAGTGGCAGTTACAATTAGATTAGATCTGAAATATCATCCCACAAGGCAGAGAAACTGTGCGCTCCCACAGACGAGTCTTACGAGAGCGGCTGCCCACGCGGACCCCAGCCAGTCAATCAAATGCAACACCAACAGCTAGCTGCTCCTCCTGCTGCATTTGAGGAGGAGATGAAATGTAATTTGGAGGATGCTCTCAGTCTCGGCCAAGCAGTGCAGTGATGCCAGGAAGGGGTCTCCCCTGCTTCCCTCATGGCAGCTGGCACGGGGAGCTTGCCCTTTCCAAGCTGTCCCCATGCCCTGCATCATTTTGGCAGCAGCGGCGAAATGCCGTGTGCACCGTCCCTGTGCCACGGCCCCCGCTGGGGAGGGGTACACACTGCGGGGGCACCCTGTGACCTGGCCCTACTTGGACATTTTCTGAATAAGCAATCTGAGCATATAGTAAGGGAAGGCCTATTTTGTAAGGAGTTGAACTGCAGCTAAATTGGGGAGGGTGGGTGGGAAATGAGGTGTGTTTTACCTATTATTCCAGATACTTTTGAAAAGGTCCAGGGATTCCCGTAGTCTGTTTGTGTTATTGTCTTCCCTTATTACCATGTTGTAGCTGCTGCAAGCCACAACGAAGATGATAGCTGTGACATCTGGGCAGAGCACACAAAAGAAAGACAGAAAGGAGAGAGAAAAGAACATCTCTGTTATCCCAGCACATACTCCTCGGGGTAACACTGCCACTACTCCCCAAACTGCCAAAAATATCTGAAGAAAATAACCGTAACACTGGACTCCTGTACTAGTGACACACTGAGTGAGAATATGAATACTAAGCTGCTCACACCTCAGAGAATAAGTTCAAAATAAAAACGTGGAATATTTTTACTTACCATTAAAGCATTGGATCCATTTTCTTCTCTCATCTCTCTGGCCACCTACATCAAACATGCTGTTAAAAAGCCATAGGATGTTATATCACTTATGTGCACTAGGAAAGTCACACGAAGCATGCAGCACAAGAGTTTAGTTTAAAAAACCGACAGCCCCAAGGACAGCGGCAGCAAAATACTGCCTGAAGGGGAGAGAGATCTGCTGATGCCACGCTGCATGTCAAGAGCTCTGCTGATGCCGCACTGCATTCAGAGAGCTGCATAGCTCCACCTGTCCCGCTCTGCCCGGAGAAGGCTACTGAACCCATAAAATGACAAATATACTCTTTTCCAAGGCAAGTGTTGGCCTTTCCAGCCCACAGAAGCGCATGTGGCATGTAAGGTTGGACCTACTGTACTATAAACAAGGACAGGTTTTGGCATATTCTGAAGGGTGGTGGGGAGAGTACGTCTCTGTAAGGAGGAGGACATGGGGACAGCTCTGCCCTGTCAGCACTGCCACCCTTCTGGGCAAGAACCGGTGAGCAGAAGCAGCCCGATGGCGGGTGTTTTACAGAGACATAGCGTAAAACTTTGACAAACACAGAGCTTGCAGCCCTCTGGAAGAAGGGAGACATTTAACTCTCCTCATCCTGCTGTACAAAGTCTGACTTGTGGCAGGATTCCCACTGACTTCTGTGAGATCTTATCCCCAAAAGTATTTTATGAGTTTACAGTGCTATATCAATGAACCCGTTAGTAAAAACAGCTACAGACAACCCCACAATAGAGCATCACTAATACGCAGTAACTAATATCAGCTCTTCTTGCAAAGTACGAGGCAATTTTACTAGGACCCATGGAAAGAGACTAAAAAACCAAACCAACTAAACAAAAAAACCCCAACTCCCACCCTAAACCTACTATACCAAGCACACGTGAGCACAGACATCTGAACTAAGTTGTTAAAAATTAGTATGATATTAATATATTATTACTAACAGACTTACTGGAAATTTACTTTATCTACTTGAAATCTTGTTTCAAAAATCCCTGATGTCAACACTCTGCATCTTAATAGGTCCTGGAAATGAGAACACAGAAGCTGATTAGCAAGTTTTTTTTCTAACCTCATTTTGTTTTTAAAAGCATGGAATATTATTTTCCATGAAAAGTCTTAAATGTTCCACTTAATTGAAGTTCAATCAGACTTGTTGTTAAACCTGCATTTGTCCACACTGACACCAATCAGACTTGTTGGTAAACCTGCATTTGTCCATACTGACACATTGGATATACACAAACATCAACTCTGCATTTGGTTTGTGCGCACTCAGAAATGAGGAGACCCTATATACATTCTCCTTACTGCCCACTGAAACCTGTTATTGATGGTCATACAATTTTGTATGTGACGTCGATAATGAATTCTGAAGTTACATAAAACTAAGAAAAATGTTATTCATGTTGTAAAGTCAAGTATTGAAATGTTAGAAAACTCCAGTTTTACAGTTGCCCAGGCAACCTTAATTCTGCCCTCTTTTGTATTGAATGAGACAGGAATCCTATCGAAATAGTAGCTTGTGACTGAGTAATTAAAGCTCTATTACAGAACACAGGGGAACAGAATTTAGGTTGTACGCAAATCCAGCACTTCTTTCTTATTTTTCAAACTAGCAGTACTTTACAACTTAAATAACATTCTTTTAATAATTAAAAAAATAATAATTTCCTAGATTCTCAAAGGAAGTAGGCAAAAGCAATTTATGATGCATACCTCAGGCAACTAGCTCACCATGTGCCACTGTCATCACCAGCAGCATTTTTAACCTTGACTATCCAGCACTGCTGCTTGGGCAGCGGGTGCAGAACAAAATTGGAGGCCAGACAAAGCTGCTGTATGCCTGATGGGGATGAACCCCCCTGAGCAGCCACCTCTCGGCACGGCTGCCTGCCTGGGGAGCACTCCCTTCCTGGGGCAAGAGAAGGGCCGCTCGGTCTAGCTTAGCTCTCCTTGCCACGCAGCGGCTGCGAAAGCAGGGAGGGAAGGAGACAGACAGTGGTGCAGACTCCAAGCACAGCTTGCCTTTTTCCCCTACCCTACCATCTACTGCTTCAAGGACTCTGGTAGCTGGCAAACCTCGGCTGCTTTGACAGCCGCATGAACTCAACTGAAGGCCGCTTATTTAATTTTTTTAGTTATTTTATATGTTACTGTCATTTTCTGTCACTTGCTGACATTTATTTGTTATTGGACTCACTCATTATTTTGGGATGGTGCAAAAAAAATTAAAGAAAGCAAGGGAAAAAAGGAAAGTAGTGATTTTTACCAGTTAATTAAAAAAAATGATACAGCATAACAGGATGAAAATCCAAAAGCAAAAGAGAATCCCTCCTTTAGAGCAGAAGTTTTCCGCCTGCCAAATACCAAAGGCCTCTCCTGCTCTTTGGAGACACACGGCATTTCTTCCCAAAGGAAATATCAGGAAAAATTTCTAGATGATGAATGACTGCTCCAGGTAGAGAAAGGCCTCCCAGGAACAAACAGGCCAACACTAACATAAATAATGAAAGCAAAAATGAGGCTTTGCTTCATTGACTTCTCTCTCCAGCCGAGTGGTATCAATGCTAAAATCAGACCATGAGGTCTAGACGGAGTAAATCCCAGTGCTACTGCTTTGCTCTGAAAATGTCTTGAGGGCTTTCATAATTGATCCTATATTGGATCAACTATACAAGTTTCACCTTTTAATACAAAGCATACTACTTTTTACTGCCTTCTATTTCAGGATACCATCAGAGTAATTGGACAAGCTTGTGGTTATAGGCCTGAACTAGGTCTGAAGGAACAGGCTCTGCTCCGCATGCTTCCTTGTGTGATATCTGGCAAGTCACTTCATTTCTCTGAATTTCAGTCCCTGATTGCACAATGAGATTTGGCAATTGTGTTTTTTTAAGGGCATCCACCCGTTATACACCTTGCATGGTTAGACTGAATTATCTAGTGCAGGGATTCTCTTCTGCCACCTGTATTTGCAGTTTATGACGTGGCCCACAATCTTGGCTGAGACTACTAGATGACAGTGGGATACCAGCACTGAAAAATAACCACCTCAGAATAAGTTTGCCGAAGAGACATCCTGCCCAAGGAAACCACACAGCCTGAGCTCCGGGAAGGCAGCCGAAGCCGTGCACCATGGTGAAGCCCTTTCTTATTTCAAGGCTGCACCAATTCAGCCTTAACTTCCCTGAATGTGTTTGTCATTAGAGCACTCTATCAAGATGTATCATGACATCTGGGAAAAAAGTGTACTGTCCTGCAAATAAGGCTTAAATAGAAAATATCCTGCCCATAGGAGATGGGCACAGGCTGGAAAGAAAGTGTCTGCATGCCCGCAGAGAAGTCCATAAAGTCTGCTGCTGCTGCTGGTGCTCTCCCCTGAATTTGGACACTAGACCCACTGCAGGCTTCTGCCTCTGAAGGACCTCTCTGATGGACGTGGGAAGCCTCCCTCTGGGTTTCCATCACCTCCACCATTGAAATAAAACACTGCTTCTGTGTAGCGAAGGCTGGTGAGGGAAACCGTAGGCTTTTACATTCCCTTCGCTTTGTTTGCGGGACACAGAATGGAAAGCAAGAAATAACAGATGTATTACAGGAATCACCGACCTACATATAATAACAGTAAAAGACAAGCTTGCACAACCAAAAAGCCTATTCCTTTTTAATATCCATTATTGAAACTGCTAGACTGTATTTTGATATTATGCGGTATGCCCTATTTCAGCTGCTATTGGGACTAAAATAAATTACATGAAGAATTCATATGAATGGGTGTCTTGGTTCAGACCCTACCCCATTAGTTATACTAACCTGATCTGTGGGTGTGTAGTCATCCATGCTGACGCTGTCAATTCTTTCTAAAAAGCTAGAAGAAAAATAAACATGCACTAAGATATGTAAAATAGTCTAGTATAACACTTTTTACTACCTTTTCTGGTTTAGACTCCTGCTGCAAAGTAAAACACAAGTCCAATGGTAAAGGTATGAGCCTGATGATTTATTTACATTGACTGAGGTTACATTTTCTGAGCCAAACAACTTTTTACCCAGACTTAGTTTCAATACAGTGCTTCTACACTTACTGTTATGAAGTACCCACAAGCGGTCCAAATGCAGTTAAACGTTATAATTTTGTGAGGTCCACTAAAAAATACTAAGACTAACCATGTGTCATAACGTTATAAACATATAGTTGTTTAGACATAAAACACTTTGGGGTTTAAAAAAGAAAATGGGGTGAAGGGTTGCCTTTATTTAGCATAATGCTAATCTAGCATAATGTTATGTTAATTACGGTCTCAGTAACGCTAGTAGAAATGCTTGTTAATATATACAAATAGTTTTGGACTGACATGCTGCCCTCAAACACTCAACTAAAGCATAAGAAGCGGAAAGCAAAACTGACATGAAGCGGAGGTTAACCAGTCTGTCTCTTTATGTCGCCAAAACTCAGTGAGATGCATAAGGTGAAACAAAAACTTACAACTGCAGGGAAGGGCAAGAGAAAAGGGAACTGGAAAAAAAAAGGGGAACCACATTCTCCAATTATTTAAAAAATCTTTTCAAGCTTTAATTCTTTCCTAGAACATGTTAGAATGGCAGTATTAAGGACATAAAAATGTGATTTTACACGTATAGCTAAAATATAGGCAGGTTCTCCTCTCTGACTTTCATCCATTTCTTAGATTTCATGTGAGCCCAGCTGGCTCATTTTCCCCAGACTGCCTGCATGACTTAGGAGCTTTCTTGAATTTCTGCATTGTTATTTGTTATTTGTCAGTGAATATCCCACCAGCTGACTCATCCTGCTACAATATTATCAAGATTTCTTTATCAACTGGCAAGTTTTTCCCAATTTTACTTGGGTGTGCATGTGGAATCTATTTAATTGCAGTGGGAAAGACAAAAAAACAGTGAACTCTTGACTTACAATGTGACTCACTGTTAACACTGGGGTCACACACACTGACCAGTTGAAAAAATACCCCCCTAAAAGCCTGTTTGTAATTCTCATAGCACTTTCCCACGGATACGAACTGAAAGGAAAAGAAAGTACGCTGCATATATATTTACTTATACTATTTTTTCTTTTTGAACCTCCATTGTTACAATAGGGAAACAAAACGCAGTATCTACAGTTAGAATACCCTGCTTTTCTTTCTGGATGATCAAGGTGTGACAGCTAAGCATATTGTTTAAAAAATCACTGTTCAGCGCAACACGATGGGTGCCTGATAACAAAACTACACTGAACAAACTCTAAAGAAAAATAATCTTTTTACAAAACCTTCTCCCCTGCCAAAAGCCACCATAAACTTATATAAAGATATAAAAATACATCTTTATAGTCAGCTACAGTCACCATGAGAAAGCAGCTGTATTCAGACTGAAGCTTTTGGTCAGATGATATTCGTCAACTTGAGAATATTGATTAAGCAAAGTTTAACTTCAGTTACCCCCACAGTTAATGCAGACACCGGAGCAGAGCGATGTATTTTTAAGTGGCACACCTATCATTAACACAACTCTCATCTCACGCTTGCAGCACACGAGATGAAAAAGAAGGCAAAAAAGCCAAAACCAAAAATGCCTCCAAGCTGATTATCTTCCTAAACACAGAGTCATTTTCCTTAACACAGCTGTTCAGGCAGCACTCTTGTATTTCCAAGTCCGTTTCGAAGTTTTCTTTCCAGTTTCTTAACAGTTTGATCTGACGGGCCCGGAAACAGCCATTTTTCATCAGGGTAAAAGGTTAGCAGAGGGGTAAATCCAGTCTCTGAGCGCAGTAAGGTGGCACCGCCAGCAGGCTAAACAACCCTGCAGAAAATGGGCAGGAGCCTGAGGGAGAGCTAGCAAACTGCTGTGGGCAGTGCAATTGTTCACGCAGCTCAGGATCGATAAATGCAACAGAAGTCAGGGGAGAAAATGCTCCTCAACTATGGCTGACACAGAAAGGGATCTGGCTAAGAGTGTGGACAGAAGCAAATATTTGTGCACAAGTACGACTCCACCACAAACCTCCCAAGACAGCGTGAATCGGTGTTTTTCTTGCAGAAATATTCCTTCTGGAGTTGATGTATAAATCAAGAAACGATACATCTTGTCTCCCCAATACCAAGGTCATGTTGGCAGAATTTGTCCAAAATGATTAAACATGGTATTCAGTACCAATTCACATCTCTCTCACCTACACAATAAGCACTTCAGGAAGGTTATTGGTTGTTAGCATTTGCATTTTCCAAACAGGCAAATTATGGTAAGGAACAGAGGAGTGAGTAACGCAGAGTTACACTACAAACAATCCATGGCAGCGTTGGGAAGTCTCCCAATTAAATGTCCTACGTATCAGCCCAAGTCGTCTTCCATTTAGAAATCATCAGCCTCCTCCCAGTAAAAGGATCAGTTTCAAATACCCTAAACTGCAACACCGCAGCTAGGAGAGAGTGAGCTCTGACAAATATCACGTGCTTAAAAAATATCACTTGACATAGCAGCTGTAACGTTTTATGCTTGTAAGGTTGCTGGCCACATGCGATCTGTATCAAAATAAATACCATGATTTACAAGGTTTTACCTGCCACCCCGCTGTATCAAGCTGCAATGATATTGATAGCATCCAATAAACCAACATGCAACTACTATTAGGATTTGGCTAAATTTCATAGCTTTACAGAAAATTAACCTTTCCAGTGTGTGATGGACAGGCTTCCTAAGATTTCTTTTGCAACTGCATTAAACATGCACTGAGATTTCTAGACACCGAAACACAAAAAGCTATATTCTTACTTTTTCGAAAGAAAATCAGTTCTTGAATATCCTTCATGTAAGGTCCTTACTTGGCTAATCAGCACAATATCAAAAAATAGCTCTGACAGGCAAATGTACATAGTAGGTACAAGTAATGGATTCCACATGAGATAAGGAGTCAGTACTGCCTCATTACTACATATGCTAACTTCATTCTCATTACTGTATTAAAATGGGAAAGCTGGAATCACTTTTCTAAATTGTTTTCTAAAGAACGTTAATTTCTACTAATCCTAAATGCCTCTAATAATTATGTTTTGGCATAACATACGTTCTTTTATACATATACATATACATATACATATATATACACACACCAGCAAATTTTAAATTTACATGACTAAAATTTCAATTTAAAGTGCTTAAAGTATGATGATACCTCCCAACTGTGTCAATGCTCATGTCTCCACTCAAAGAATCAATGTGAGGAAAACACAATAGCAGAAAAATGAATAAAAATGGACATCAGTATCTCTTATTCTCTTTTTAGATCCTGTTTTTTTCAGCTCAGGGATAAAATTATTTTCACAGAATTATGCCTTTTTACAATACTGACAGGTCTTCTATTTATGCAGCTTCTGTAGAAACCCATACTCAGGATTTTTGTTAATTCTGCAGTGACTGGTTTGCATGCATGTGCAATGAACTTTAAACTCACGCAGTCAACTCAACTGTGAATAAAACTATAACATATTATATAACATTTATATTTCTACTTCACAATTGTGGTTTTATTTATAAAGGATTCAATCTCATAATCAGTATGACATTTAGGTTCTTCTTAATTTCACTGTAGGGTGTTTTACATTTCCTTACATGGAACAGCACAAACTACTTTTTTTTTTTAAATAAATGAGGCAAGATACTGGAAGGAAGGTCTTCACTGCTCTGTTTGGAAATGCAGTGGTTTGGTTTGCCAACAAATTAAAGTAAAGAAAAATGGACTGATAAAGTTAAAAAAAACAATCACGAGCTACTGACATTATTATATCTATTATTAAGCTGATCTGTAGTTTTATAAATATCTTCAGTGAGTTTCCTAGGAAACTCAGCTGACACTTAGTTTGACAAGCAATCTCTAAATTTTACATTATGCAAGCTGTGAACACAAAAGTACAGGTTTTAGATGTGCCTGCCAGTGCATGTGGGAACTATCAATAAGCATTATTCTCTTTAAAAACCATGGCAATTTGAGCAGCAGTCGCAGCTATATAAGAATTTCTGAAAAAAGGATTCATAAATGCACAAATAAAGAGGAGGTAATCGTACACGAAAATCCTTTTCTCACTGGGTAAATCACTACATGGCTCTGTATAGATATTCTGACCTCACAAACAAAATCACAATTGAAAGAAAAATCATGTCTTGAGAATAATACGATAGACACAAAACCCATGCTATATTTGTAAGTGTATTTTGACATCCAAAGAATTGGAAAGCTGAAGTGCTAAACCGCAGATCAATACAATGAACTACACATTTTAATAAATCTTCATCTACTTCAACCATTTTTTATGCTCTCACCCCAACACTTCAAAGGCCTTGTATCAAAAATTTTCTGTGGAAAACAAGAAATCAAACCCATACCAAAATGCTTGTCTCTTTAACAGAAAAAGGTAACGTGGCAAATCTTTGAGGCTGTAGCTTTAAGTTCTGAGAATGAAGAATCCCAAATTTATCCTCAAGTAAGTTGTCGGGGTCAGCAAACCTTTACATTTCTGATGGACCATTGAGAGCTTTGCAAACTCCTCAGCCAGGCTCAAAAATGAGCAGAAGCACCATAATCTACTATATGAAACCATCCAGGACCAGGACTTTGGATTGCAATAAGTCACAAGTGAGGCAGACATTTCACAATGAGAACACCTACCCCAGGTCTCTAGGGAGCTAAAATGGAAAAAATACCTTTTTTTTTTTTTTTCTGTTGCAGTTATCAGGGACAACATTAAGATTTAAACTTTTTTTTCCCCTTCTTTCTTTCCATAAAATATCTTTTTTTTTTTAATCTGCTAAAGGATTATAATCCTGTTAATTCTTCCTGCAATATTTGAAATAGGA